CGACGCTCAGTTGTTTAGGCTCCTACAGAATCCAGGTGTTGATCGATGTGGATCCACAAACTGGACAAAACCCTCCTCCTCCATGGTGTTTCTGCTCGTGCTCAGGTCTACACCAGTCCCTCCCTCCCTCCACAGATACTGACCCCCATTTGTTCCTGTGTCAGCTGCCGTCCCATTGTTTGTTCAGTCGCTGTGACAGTTTGGCTCCACAAGAGAAGAAACACACTCAAACCACCACAACTAAATGCCTAATCCTAACCCTAACCAAGTCCAACCTGAGCCTAAAACCAAATCTTAACCCTCAAAGAACCCCTTGAAGGTGTGTGAGAAAGTGAGGACCGACCAGAATGTCCTCAAGGTATAAAAATCTAACTGATCCTCACAAGGACAGCCAGTCAAGTAGACACATGCAGACTGTCCGGTGGAGTTTCAATCAGCTTCAGTATTTCTCACACTGGGTCAAACTGAGCCTCAAATGCCAAACCCCACCACCAACACCTCAACTAACTATGAAACAACCACCTGAATAATTCAAGCATGTGCTCATTTTTGTTTTCTTTACTTTGACATAAATAGCATCAACCAATACAAGGACCCTGGTTTTACTGCTGTCAAGTGACTACACTATCTGTATCAGTGAGGCTAGGCTGGACAACAGAAACAGCTCACGGCACAGTTTGACTACAGCCTCCAAAATGACCCTACAGTTGGACCGACACCTCTCTGAAGCAGTGTGAACACAAACTGACCTTTCATGAAGCAGGGTTTATTACAGGACCACTGTGTTAGACTGCATTAGGTTTAGCTAGGTGTTGCTAATAAACTGACAGCTGGCTGAATATTAGCAGTGTTCTGTGTAATGAAAGTTACAGCCTTGAACATGTTAGACAGGACATATTGACCATTTTAATATTCTGAGAACGATAAGTTTGCACTGAGAGTAGCGCCTCAGGTTGAAGAACTATCCCTCTGGGGAAAAGTGCTTGTGTCTGTTTCTCTTTCTTTATATCAAAATAACAGAGGACAGATGGAAATGAAGCTGTAGTCGCCTGCAGATGCTACCAGGGAGCTATATCTACCAACCCACAACCAATAAACACACAGGCGGTGTATCTGTGCAACACTAAACCCTCTCAGACAAAGAGCTCCTGCTTTCTGTGAAGGTTTCTGTTACTTCACCTCGAAAAGAAAGGGACAAAAGACGAGAGAGGCACAGTGAGAGTGAGAGGGAGAGTCTTTCAGGATCGGCCTTTATCGAGTGTCATCTGACCCACTTTGAGACAGAAAACACACTGAAATGTGAACAACACCTACAGATGGGTGACAAATGGAATAAACTCCCATAAAGTGAACAACAGACTCTCCAGAACAGCTTCGGTGCTTCGCTGCTGGAGCCCACTGAAAACATGACGTCTTTACAATGTAGGCTGCATCCTAATGCAAGCCGGGTCAGCATCAGAGGAATCTGTGCTGCATTACAAATTAATTTTTAAAAGAAATAACTGAACAAAACTGCATTTGTTGCTCTAATAGTTGATAGGTGACTGTTTGTGTGTGTTAATAAGTGACCCAGTAACCGAGCTGGGCCCTCATTGTGACTCGTTTGACCTCTACAAGTTTGTTTTATTTTGTCTAAAATCACATTTTGTCCTTTTGAGGAGGTCGTCACTCAGGTCGCTGACATCTGGATGCAGTAGCAGGTCTTCAGCAGGCTTACTGAGTGGCAATCAACTGTACAGAAACATCAGCCAATGCTGACTCACACAAACATGCACATGTAAAATCCATCAGCACTGCTGATGGGAAACGCTGAGCCCACAGAGCAGGGCAATTATCTCTGAGTGTAATGAGGTTAAAAAGCTAAATGGACAGATGCTTTTGTGTCTGTCGGTTGTGTTGTCTTCGCTATATGAGCATCAGCTGCTGTCTTGTTGCTGTGAGAGCTTTAGGTTTAAATAAAACAGATTCAAACTGATATTAAAATCAGACCAAGTGAGTTTTCTGGTTTACATCTATAGCTCTTAACCTGGACCTACAAGTACACACACAACCCTGGCCCTGGAAATACAAACTGGACAAAAACACTGGTCCTTAGATTCTCTTATTTTACACGTCTGTTTTTACTATTTCTATTGTACCACAGACAGAAGTGGACACAGAGGGAGGTCCAGAGTTTGCGCTTGATGACACACAGGCTTGTTTCCCTTTACACCTGAACTGGTCCGTCTGCATGCCGACTGCATTCCAGCTGCTGGGCTGCGTTCAGAGCCCTGCCTGTTTATGTCAACAAGGCAATCAAATGTTTACTATGCATAAGAGTGACACCCACAGATATTAATGCCACATTCATTGTAGTTGTTTGACTTCTTGACATTACTGACCCAGTGAGCCCTCTGGTTCAGTTTTGACACTATGAATCCAAAAATCTTCAGGGTACTTCATTAAGTTCTATTTATTGAAAAGGTCTCAAAAATCAATCAAATGCGATGTGATGTCTTCATATTTTGTTTCCTAAAACTCACAGTTACTCACTTTACAGCTTTATAAATGTGAACATCGGCAGGTCCTCACACTTCTTTTGCAAATTCGTTATTTGCTTTGTAGAAAATATTTATTGGTTAAACTTTATATTTAATTATGAAACTGTGTTTTCAATAGTTGAGGCAACTGGATGCGGAGTCTGAAGGGGTTAGATGAAAATTCACAACAACCAAAATGCCAAAAATATTCAACTTATAAATGATAAAATCTCTCATCTGCGAAGCTTGAACCAGTATGTGTTGGACATTTGTTTAAAAATGCTTTAAACACCTGATACTTCAAAACAACTGGATGAATGCTGTCAATCCACTTTGATTAACTGATGTTTCAGCACTAAAAAGACACATCTACGCCAATAAAGAAATATTTGCCAGATCTAAGTGTGATTGGGTATTTTTATGCTTATCTATTTCAGATTTATTATAAAATGATGACTGTCTGTTGAAGGCTGTGTTTGGATATCTGGCATCAAATGGTCACATTTAATGTTGCTGCCACACCCTGTTTATTTAATTCACTCACAGAAAACGTATCTGTTCCAGACACAACCTGACGCCCAGGTCAGTTTTAAAGTTCTTGCCTCTAACCCACACACACACACACATACACACACCATCGGCACACTCACCTGCACAGGTGATGCAGTGCTGGAAGATGTAGTTGCAGCACGCATCACACCAGGCGTTCTCGCCTTTGGGCACGAAGCAGTGTCCCTCCCCGGACTCCTCCTTCACCCTGGGGTCCCTCTCCCCAGGGGAGAAGATGGTCCTCACATCTGGGGGTCTGAACCCCTTCTTCCTGCTCCGCGGAGGCCCCCCTCCGTGACCCTCCACCCCAGCAGGTTCTGGCTTGTCGTTCCTCCTCTCGGGGATCGGTAAACTCTCCAGCGGTTTCACCTCCAGGTGCCCTCTCTCGCTCCAAGCCGCCTCCAGGCTCTCCAGACTGGCAGGTTGAGGAGACGCATTCCGCCGGACAACTCTAACCACCACCCCGCCTTTGGAGTTCCGCATCTTGGCACCCGGCGGCGGCCACGTACGCTCCGGTGCCCCGCTCAGTGTGCCCGGGGATTTGTTGATATGGAGAGCCCGCACGGTTAACAGAGAGTCATCCGTGACTGCGTAGCGTGTGGGGGCGTATTTCCGACCCTGGTTCACGGCGTTAAACATTACGCACACTGTTTCTACTCCGCTGTTTTACCAGGCGGCGACGACGGGCAGCTGAGTTGCGACGTCATTGTTAACACCGACTGAGGACCCGTGTCCTCCTGCTGCCCGTGTTTGTCGGTGAGCAGGTTGAGGCAGTCCCAGGTGTGCAGGGGAACGGGTTGGATCTCATTTCACCGGGAGAAATCAAACAGCAGAGACGCTCCAAACCCCGTTTACAAAAATGTTCATTTCAAGTTTCTTTTATTGTCAGGAAACATTACCAACACCTTAACCCTTCTTCAGTAACTCACCGGATTCATGGGACTATATTTTTCATTTCCGCATGCATCGCAGTTATTACAAGCACACATTACATAAATTATAACATTTAGGCTATTTCCAGGCGGCATATTGCTTCCTTAGTGGCCCAAAATATGGTTTCTTCTGCGGTCCAATCCCAAATTGCACAGCTCAAAATTAAATAATTTTGTCAATTATTTATATGCCGAAGTTATCAGAGTGAATGTAATCATTTGGCAGAGGATTAAAACAGCAAAATAACGTTTTTTAAAATAAAAACTATAAACCATCACATTTTTACAATTAGGTTCACGTCCCAGTTTCTTCTCGCCTCACGGGGGCGCTGTTGATTCACAGCTGAACAGCAAAATCTGCTCTGGCAGTTGAAGGGAAGAAGATGTGAAGCAAGTCTTTAGATTATTGTAAGAATGCACTCGACAAAGAGGTTAAGTCTAACAATTGAGTTAGTTCTATTATGGGATGGTTTCTCCACGTACACGGAGACTTCCCTTTGCAGCCTTGTACTTAACTTTTCTTGTGATAAATATTACTGATACATGTGGCCTTGCTATATCAATTAATGTTTAACTATTCCCAAAGTCAAACACAAAGTAAATTAAACCATAAAGATTCAGAAATGAATAAAAACACAGAGCAAGAATCACTTAATATGATCAGAGGTTTAAAAGCCACTGAATATGGCTTATTTTTAATCATATCTTAATTTATATGTAACAAATTCAGATGGCACATTTTTTTAAAACTTCAGCATCATAGGGCAACACCTCAGTGCTGCATCGAAGCTAAATATTTTCTATTTTAAAAGTGCAAGTGCTAGACGGTAATTAAGAAAACATGTATTACATTTATGTTTAACCAAATTAAAACAAGATTTAAAACATACCTCTGAAACACAAGCGGTTAAGTTTAAAATAGGAATAGGAATCAAATCACATTACATCACTTCTAAAAATCAAGAAAACCTGAATACAAAGAGTTGCTTACGGAGGGGTTTATGTAAACTGATTTGACACAATGCAAAACTAGTGTCCTGAGTCTCACTTTGTTCCTCACACGGCATTTGAAGCCTCCGAGAGCTCCCGAACTCCCCAGCAGGAGGTTAGTGCCCTTTAGTCAAACTGCAGTTCGTGTTAGCAGCTCCTGAGGGTGCAGGTGAGCTGCTGAGCTGGAAACCACTTCTTTATCTTCACTGGACGTCGTCCTCATCATCACTTTTAAAGGCTGCTTCCTGTGCAGGCAAAAGAGGAAAATATTCAAGCAATTTTAAAAGGTTGATGGGTTTTACAGCTTATTTAAAGAAGGTATTATCTGCCACGTACATATCCGCCCTGCTGCTGTGCCCAGGAGGAAAAGTGTTCACTCAGATATCTGGCTCCGTAGCCGAGCAGTCTGTTCATGGGCAGCGTGTCCATGGCCGACAGACGAGTTGTGGCCTGTCAGGAAACAGAAACAATTTCAGCAAAGCCAAAGAAGGCACTGAAGGAAGCTGTGGACTCCTGTACATACTGCACGTGTATGGAATGAACATGAATGGTCACGGTCAGACATGGCAGACCAATATATATGGCTAAATGCTAAAGAACTGAGGACCGACTTCACTGTTCCAACGAATCTTTACACATATAATCAGAGGTTTTTCAAATGAAAGTGAATGTAAAATAAATGTGAAACCTCCTTGTCTCTCCACTGAAACCTGTTGCTGATACATTTTTACTAAAATTAAGGATCTGAATATCTAATATCCAACATTTCTTAGCAGACTGACAATTATTTGTGGCCCCTCCTCGAAATTTAACTGGTTTCACACCCCAAAAAGACAAAATGACAGGTTTTGCTTCCTCATAAATGTTAAAATGAACACACAAAGGGGGGTTCAAGCACCTGCAGCCACCCACATCATCGTGGTCTCTGTTTCCCTCCCTTTTACTTATGGTATAATACATCGACATGAAGCTACTCTCACCTCACAGGTGACGGCGATCTGCGTTTTAGGTGATGCATGTGGCCCTGGAGAGTCAGGGTAGGGTGACCTGAGGCCCATCCTCCCGAGAAGGGCACTTATTAGCGTCTTGAAGAAGGTGTAGTTCCAAATCTCTCGGGCTAGATCCATGTCTTTTAACTGCTGTTAGAGACAAGAAACATGAACCAGATTTTATTTATCCACTTCACACACTAGAATGGGTGTTTTTAAAGTGCATGCTGTGAGAAAAGAGAGTTTATCATAAAAGGTAATACATTATAATTTACAATGAGGTTCATTACTGCAGCACATGCACATGTAGTAGCTGACAAACCCGTTTCACATGTTAAGAGCTGCACAAAGCTGTAAAAAAGGTGTGAACTCTAGACCTAACAGATATGGTGCAACATGGTTGTGCTGTACAGGGCATGATGTGTGGAAGCTTAAATCTAGTCAGAAATAACATGATGTTATATAAACAGCTTCCAGACTCATTACACATTCAGGAATGTTTTCACATCAGTGTTTCAAACCTCCTCGTTCAGTCTGTCTCCACTGTCCCTCAGCAGCAGACCGATCATCCGCTCCACATTGGGATCATCTAGACAACCAGACACATGTCATCAGTCAGCAGCCATGATGCAAGAAAACCAAACTGCTCAGGCAACTAATAAGTCATGAATGCATATCAAGATTTAATACGTTGTTTGATTTAATATGTCATTTGTTCTGATGTTATGAAGTCCACCACCCTGCAGGGAGGAAACCAGGACTTACCCGTTGGTCCATCTTCCTCTACATCTGGAGGAGTGAACGGGATTTCATCTGCGATCTCTGCCACTCTTCTGGCCACCTCTTCCAGCAACTTTTCTTCTTTATTTTCATCTAAAAGATAAATTAACACACAAAGAAAATGGTATGAGGGCATGAACACACACACACGTTAGAAAAATACAGCTACAAGTCCAAGCCTGCATCGTTCCTGATGGATTTCCCAATCACATTGTGAAAAAAATCCACACGGTCACGAGACCTGACTCAGAGTCTGATAGGTGACTCACCTGCTGAGAGGAAAGTCAAGTCAACAGGAAGAGTCTGCAGCTGCGCCTTTGGATTTCTACCTAACAAGGTCAAACTTTACTTGCAGATCGGCAAAGGTACAAAATCCGTCCATGATGATTTAGCAGGTCACAATTTACTGAGAAATGAATGTCATGCAAGTGATTCACAAATCCTTTAGCTCAAACAACTTAAAGAACACTTGTTTATTTATTTATTTATTTTTGAAAACAAGTGTCGGTGCAGCTCTAATACTATTAATGCATAGCGGATTTATGTTTTACATATATTACACATTATATAAAACAGGATATTGTATTTATAATTCATACTTATACTGTGTCATATATGGTGCACTAATGGCTGCTGGATATCTGGATTTCTTTCATCAGGCTGCACTTAATTATTTTAATTATCTGTTTTGTGATTATTTTGTGGTTCTCATCACACTAATTTAATCTAATCTAATGTGATCTTATTTTGGCCACACTTATTTTTACAGGCCTGTTAATTCCAGTCTACTTAAAGGAATCATATAATTGGTACTAGTTACAGGTGACATCAGAGAGTGATCAAATGATAGACTTCCAGTTATTTGTAAATGCTAAGCTAGCACAGATCTGACGCTTTTATCCAGAGGACAGCGGGTGAGCAACACATGTGAAGCGTGAAATGTGCCTACAAACCAGGGACGGGCATTTCAAGCTAAAATGCTATTTGATCTTCGTTGGGAATTATTTGACAGTTCTTTGAAGATCATGGAACCCCCCCAGGGATCATTCAAATCCATTTCAAATATTCCGAGTTAAACCAGATGTACAGTAGTTTGCAGTTCTTATCAGAGCTGCAACAATCATTCGATTAATCCACTGATCGATCAACAGAAATCTGATCTATTTCATACTCAAATAACCGTTCGAGTCTCTACTCTGGGGAGGTGTGACAGGAGGATTTCTGAGGGTACATCTAAGACTCACCCTCTTTAAAATCACCACATCTGTCGTCAACATCATGTTCCTCCCCTGCTATTTGCTGTGGTTCTTCTTCTGTCTGAGGTTTGATGCATTTTAAAATGTGCCAGAGACGTCTCCATCCCTTCTTCTTCTTTTTCTTCTTGTCTGCTGTCTCCGTTTCAGTCTCAGCTAGAGGCTGAGATGGAGCTGTCACGTTTGTATCTGTGTTACCATTTCCTACAACCAGTCCGTCCTGTGTACGTGACTCAGTGGCCCGTTCCCCCCGTCTCCTCTGTGCATAGGCCATAAGGAGTCTGAACTCTGGCAGGTCCTTTTTGCCTGAGGAAGGGTCACTGTCTGTGCTGCTTTTGTCATTGTGGATCGAGGAGTTGCTGGTTTCCACATGCCCATTCGCCATGTTGGTTTACTGTTAGTAAAGAAAACACAGAGAGTTACAGTAAACTCAAAATCACAAATTTGTAGCTAAATAGTTGATAAATGTGAATGTGTTTGTACCATCAGAACGATCATCTCTTGTTCACTAGTCAACACCAGTAAACAGCATATTTACATCTATTCATCCTGATTGTGTTGTGCATGCCTTAATAATTTTGTAATACACATTTCCATACCTTCTTTCTACCTCTTTACCAGTTTGTATTAAGTATTTTGTTATATTTAGGATTGTGACCAACTGTTAAACAAATTCCTTGTGTGTAACATACTTGGCCAATAAAGGTGATTATCCTTATTTTTATCCGTGATTAATAAATTAGTCATTTTGTCTCTGATAGATGCCCACTGCATTTCCAGAGAGCTTCAATGTGCTGACTCACTTTATTATGATATAAAATCAGAGAAAAGCAGAAAATCCCCACATTGGAGGAGCAGGAACAAGAAGAGGTTTGGAGTTTCAGCTTGATAAACAATTCAAACAGGCAATTGTGTTGATTAAATTATCTGTTGATTGACTAACATGTTTCATCTCTAACTTACATTGTACTGTTTGCATTTTACAGTCCAATACCTGTATATTAAACATTTTAACAGGCTGCTCTCAAAATTTATTGGTCTATATAATTGTAAAACGTCTTAATCACCACTGACCGGTGTTGGACATGTCGAGACAAGTTGACACAGCAATACAGCAAGAACTCTGATAATAAAACACAGACTTTGAAACGGTTTAAGGCCAATTTAACGCCAAGTTAAAGCTACTACTGTTGGACTCTAACACGCCAACATTGGTAAAGACAGACGTTACAAATGTCACTGTTGTTTAATTGTAACGATGACCCATATCCGTGAGGAACAGGGTTTAATACCACGTAAGCTCCTGTTTTAAAGTAGGAACTCGACTTCGTAAAAAGCATTAATGACAATACACCGAAGAAACAAAACTCGCCTTAAACACTAGAAACATTAGTTAAGACAGTTAGTTCTGTTTTTATCTAGTTAAACAACTTTTTTCTTAGTTATGGTAACTTTTAAAACTGCCCCAAAACACTTCTACCCTACTTTTTAGTAGTACTTTATGAAATATATAAAAACATAAAATCAAATGTACTTACGGTTCAACAAGTCAAAAAAGGCTAATTAAAGTATCAAAACAAACTCCTAGGTCGTTTAATTCTTTCAGATAAATGACCCTCAGCTTCTGTGTGCTGCATTATATCCGCCTGGCTTGCGTCATGTGACGTTTATGATACGTCATGACGTTGCACCATCATGCGTTCCCGTCAGATTTTAAGTATTTTAAAAATCGGTAGCCTACAGAAATTAAAACGTTGAGCTAAAATAAGATCACAGGAAGAGCTGAGGAAGACGGAAGACAGTTATTTTTCTTTCATGTCCTTTTTTTCTTTCATCAGACAACAAGTTGCAAACTGAAAAAAACTCAACTGGAGCAGGTTTTTAAGTCGAAGACGTTTCACCTCTCATCCAAGAGGCTTCATCAGTTCTTGGATGAGAGGTGAAACGTCTTTGACCTAGAAACCTAGTCCATCTGATTTTTTTCAGCTTACCTGGATGACTGAGAATCTGCCCTGACAACAACAAGTTGCAAAAGTGAAAGTAAAACTATACTATAAGCTAATGACAGTGCAAAAAGGTTTCTGTTGGGGTTTATTTTATCCATAACAATAAGGTTAGTCAGTGTTCTAGTTGTACAACCTGGCCTTTTATGTCATGATGCTGCTCAAATTTGTCTTTATTTTATTTCCCATAAACATTTTTGAAGCAACTGTCCATAAACTTATCACAAAGTAGTGAATGGAAAGTTTTGTAAAGATAGAAACATCCAGAAACTCTTATGGAAACTAAAACCTGCTTTGGTTCAGTCCCAGAATAGTTATTTACCATCAAACAATGTTATTTATGGTACTGGGCTATGACCAGAAAGAATGGAAATTGTAATCAGAAACAGTAGAAAGAGGAATTTTATAACTTTGCTGATATTTCAACATGTTCAACATGACTCATAGTTTATTGACTCACCAGAGAAGTTTGTGTGTCAAACATTTATCAAAACAAAGCAAGAGAAAACAGGCTTTGGTGGTCAAATGAGTGGTGACAAAGTGGTGCAAGTAGGCATTTCTTCTTTTAAAGGCAGCACAAGCAAAGTAGGTTTGTTAAACCCAAGGTTCTGAAAGCTATTTCTGCCACTAAAATGTCATCTGTGATTAAATTAAACTTATTAGTTACAAAGTCAAAATTATGAGATTAAGACATAAAAAGTCATAATTAGGTTTTGGTCTGATTTTTTTTGCGCTAATCAAACATTTACCTGTTTGAACCATTTATAATGTTGTCGGAAATGTGAAGTTGTGTTTGGCAGCAGACTCGTATCACTACAAGTACATTAAGTGTAAACATTTTTTCTTGGCCTTGGAAAATATAAAACGTCAAAAGACCCATTTAATAGCAGTTCTGCAGCTTTTGGTCATATTGTGAAATTGTAACCGTTTCTGTTGCTTTGGCTGCTGTTTCCCAGCTCAGGTAATGAACCCTAAAGCTAACATGGACGAGAAGTCCTTAAAAAGCTCAGACACAAAGTTCGTGTGCCGTGACAAGCTGAAAACCCCAGAATGATAATTGCCAAACACAGGTTTCTGTCCCTGGTAACCTCTCAAACAGGCTTGGAAACTTCCCAGCTGTGACTCAGCGGGGTTGTTAATACTTCACGGCTGCCTGACAAATGTCTCAGTCTTGTGTTGCCCGTTGACCCGAAGCTCATGATGATAAATACGGGTTTTTCAGCCTTGTTTGCAGAGACTTCTCTCGATCCTCTGAAGCTTTTAATGATATTGTGTACTGTACCACAGATGATCAAAACAATATATATATAACTGTTATGTGCCGTTCGCACCTGTCAGTGAGCGAACGAGGAAAGAGGCGGACCCAGGTAGCCGACTTCGATGCAAGCAGTGATTTATTATGTACAGTGATGAGGAGAAATAACAAAATGCACAGAGGGAAATAGTGCGTAGTCCTGTCGATGAGTAGTAACCGGGTGTTGACCAACAGTAGGAGGTGAGGAGATGGAGAGCTGGGCCGAGCTGCGTAGGCTGGGTCACTCCTGGGCTGGTCGGTGGTGATGGTGGCTACTGAAGGTAATACATACAAATAACGAAAGAGCACGGAGAAAAAATGGAGTGAGGAACAGGTGAATGTGATTAGTGTTAATGGGCAAGAGACAGTAGGAAAGGTGAGGGAGGCCAGAGCGGCCGAGCAAACCTGACAATAATGTCAAGAAAAGTTCTTAAGACCTAAACTGTTGAACAATTTTCCCATGCAGTCTGTCACAGAGCGGTGACCCTTGCCCAGGCCTTACTTCTGAAAGACTCTGGGATGCTCTTTTTACACCCAGTCATGACAACAACCTGGTGCCATTTAACCTAAGCAGTTATGAGGTTTTTGTAGCTTTACACAAGTTTTCCAGTGATAGATTCTACGCTTTTTGTTAGAAATGAACCCAATTCTTTTGTTGGAAGCACGAGAAGTGACGACAGGAGAGGACTGTTTAAAATCAACAGAAAGTTTACTGAGAGTCTGATTACAAGCAAGTCTTACAGCGCTGGATTCAGAGAGCCAGAGCTCCCGCAGGAAAACCAACTTCTGAATCCCGAATCATGTTTTACAATGCATTTTATCTTCTTGGGCTGCTCCGCCCTGGACAGAGGTACAACATTCAACTGCTTTTGATCCTTTTCTCCATTTGGTGTGAACCGGAGCTCCCCTTGTTTCAATGTGTTAGAGTCTAGGTGTATGTGTGTGTCTCTCTCATGTGGTAACTTGGTCTTGATAAAGCACACAGAACAATGGGTTAACTGGGTTGCAGGCCCCCTATGTGTGTGTGAGACAATAAGTATGCTAGACTGGCCAAGTGGTCATCTCAGGTGATGAGACCCCTGTGTGTGTAAGACATCCTCTGGTGGGGCAGACCTTGGGATATGCTATGTGTGTCCAGGTGTGGGCTAGCGGGGCTTTGTTAAAATGTAAAGAGGCCGTCTGGTTGTCTGGGGGATGCAGACATTCAGAAGTTGCAGAGACCAAGTAGATTCTACCTCATTACAATTGTAAGACAGATAAGCAAGGAGAATAAATGTATTAGAAGAATAAATGTATTAAAATAACCAAAGCTCAGTAGTTCTGGACAATCATCAATACAGCTGTAATATGTATAATCAAGTAAGATAAAGTTATGAAAGGTAACTAAAGGGAACTAAAGGCATGAGAAGTAACTAAAGCTGATAAAGTAACTAGAGTCTACAAGACTCAAATCTTACACCAGTATTTTGTTTCCCCTGTCCCAGCTTGTTTGGAACATGTTGCTGGCCTCAAATTCACAGTTTTTAAACATTACGTATCTTATATTTGTACTGTTACCAAATGAATACAAATTGGTTTTCAAAACATTTAGTTTTCAGTTACAATTTACAATGTATTTGAGATAACATTGATATTTGGGGTGGCTGTGACTCAGGAGGTAGAATGGTCAGCCCCCAATCGGAAGGTTGTTGGTTTGATTCCCGGTCTCCCCAGTCCACATGTGGAGGTGTCCTTGGGCAAGACACTGGACCCCTAGTTGCCCCTGGTGGCCAGGCAGCAACTGACAGCGCTGCCATCAGTAAGAAATTCCCCCACAGGGATTAAGAAAGTGTAATATGTGTTAAGATTCAATGCATTACTGTCTCTGTACTTCCACTTTCTGAAAGTGATGCAGTTCTGACTGAACTGATCATTGTTTTGAGAGGTTTTCTCATGGTGAGACGTTGGATGAATAACTAACTTTACTCATTAGGTAAAAGGTCTGGGATAATAGAACTAGGGCAGGTTTTTTTTGCCAATTTAAACTCAGCACATTTTATACGAAACTATTTCCAGCAGGATACAAAACATATTCCACACTCTTCAAATGAAATGTAGGACTTTTTGATAATCTGTGGAAACCCTGATCAATCATGCTGCATTTCCACTTAAGACAAAACAAACTTTACAATGGGTGATGATTTAAGCACAGATATAAAGAGTCTGTGCTAAAAGGCTGTGGAATAATAATGCACCTTAATGAAGGAAATAACAGGGTAGAACCTCAGTACATGTTGCACAAGAAAATCAGAGCCGAACTGTGCACAGTATGTGGGTGTGGCGACCGTTTTTTAAACCTTCTGACCTGACTGAGATCTAAACAGTCTATTTAAATACACTTGTGGCTTGAAGCCAGCAAGGACACAAAGGAAACTGAAACTGTATGCGCATGAATGTTTGAACCTGCATGACAAAGTTGCTTCCTCAATTAGTTTTCAGTTCAAGATGATGATGTTTTTTTGTGGCAAACTGCAGTTCAGCATGTGTGCGTAGAGAATTTCCTCAGCAATCGCTCAAACAGTAAGCAGAGATCAGTCGGAGCCAAAAACTATAGCATCACATCTTCTTTTAACAAATTAAGAAAACAAAGTTCAAGTAATGCCATCATTGTCAGCAGATTAAAGAAATACAAAACAAAGAAAAAAACACCCAACACATGTCCATCCTAAGAAGAAACTCGGGTATAAATCATTTAAAACTATAATAATTAAATAATTTAAACAACAATAATGCCATTTTTTTATGTCATTACCAGAAAATAATCCCAAGGAGGTAAGAAAATGTCATGCATAACTGATGAGAGACACAAGTTAATAAAAAGGTTCTGCTGAATAGAAAGAGCGTGTTGTCACTCAGGACGGGCCTAGCTTATCACCACAGTCACTTCATAGAAAATTATCACCATTCACAGATAATTCAGCTTAAAGAGTTCATGTACACGTGTCTGTCAACGTGTCATCTCCGCACACTCACAGGAGGTGTCAGTGTTGGATGTCGACTGTGGTAGCCATCGTAGAAGTCCTGGAAAACAAATGCTTTGACGTGAAAATCCCATGTGAGGGGAGTGAGTCAGAACTGCAGCAAGTCATCCTATTTATTGTAACAAAAAGCTGTAAGCAAACACTGATGTGTGACTTTTGGATTCAAATAAAAATCATCAGTGTCACCTCACACTGCAGGGTAAAAACCATTAAAATAGCTTCAGACAGTCATCCTGAAACCAGGGAAATGCTTGGTTCTGATTGGCTGGCAATTGTCGCAACACCTCAGAGACAGCACAGATGTTGCCTCTGTGACGTAAACTGGAGAAACACTAATTTCCCCTATTTAGCAACGATAAGCAGAAATGTTTTTCCACAGCAGTACTTTCAGATGCGGTTTTTAAAGGTCAAGAAAATTCAGAAACATTTCTTTGAGTAAGAAATACTGTGAATTTTTGTAGCAGTTAAAAACATCATTTACAGCCAAATAAACGACTTCTACCATGGCTCCACCTCAGTCTTTAAAATGTTCAGTGTCTCCAGAAATACTCAGAAAAGCGTTTCCGGCTCTTTATGTCTGTGTTTACAACAGGTTATATCAAAAGAGACCTCACAGGGTTGGTTAAAAGTTCAGTCCATTGACATACATGCACACAAAATTAAAAATAAATAAAATAACAAGACAATCGTATACCCAGCTAGCACTGAAGTCAAACTGCACATTCCATACTCCTCTGTGACAAGTGGTTGACTATATTCAAAACATTAACGCAATGTAAACGCAAAAAGACAGCTTCTATTCATATTGCATTGAATATGGCTCAGATTTGAATTTTCTTTGATAAATGCTGCACGCACACACACACACACACACACACACGCACACTTTTATATTGCAACACGCAGTTTGCGGTTACGTACATGCTGCACAGAGAACAGAGCGTCTGTTGCAGCTGTACCTGTCTCTCTGTCAGGTTTGATATGGAATGGGTTGTTTTATCGCACTCGCACAGACACACACAAGCTGCTTGTGAAAAGTCTTGTCGGGTCAGGTGATGCACTCAATCCTGCTGTGGTTAGACTTTAAATCGCCCTTTTCTAAACACAGTCTGGTCTGTTGTTAAATATCCACCAGATGCACCTGCTAAACATTCACTCAGTGTTGGGGTTTCATCCATAATGGGCTGATACTGGTCCTGTCCCAGTAACCAGACCTGATTCGGTGATATGATGAATTCAGTGCATTTCCGTTTAATCACACATTTGGGACAAAAAGTAGTTTTTTAAAAGTTTTATAAGGAAAGTTTTCAGTTTAGTCATGTGATGAATCGGAGCTGCAGCTGAAGGTTGTTTTCATTATCAACTCATTATCAGTTATTCATTGTGGACTCATTGTTTGGTACATATTATATTTCAGACTATAAACTGTCAGAAAATGGTGCAAACTGACCCTCACGTTAACCCCAACCCAAGCTGACATCTTCAAATGTCTTCTTTTTTTTACCTACCAACAGTCCAAAACCCCAACTTTCCAATGACAGACGGCAAAGGAAGCCAATAAATACTCAGATTTGAGAAGATGAAACCTCAGTTTGGAGGATTTTTAAAATAAAAAAGGCATCAATCTGGTGTCAATATAATTACCTGTTGATCAGCTATTAACGGTTTAAGCTCCGATCAGATGCTGGGCAGTAACTCAGAGGGTTATCTTTCTCCTGTCCAGGATGACATGTTGTTCTTGTTTTGTATACTGTACTACTATGCAACGTCATCAGGTCAGGGATCAAAAAAGAAAATGAAACAACTCAGAACAAGCTGTTATTAAAAGGAAGGTTGTTTTACATATAAACAAAAACAAGTTTGTCTCATCTAACACTGAAGTGAAGATTGCTTTATATGTAACTACGTCCTTCGTACATTTGTGGTATTCAGTGTATTTTGATCGACTATTATTTCTAGTGTATTATCAGCCCTGTTCAGAGACTTTTTCCACTGTGACGTAAACAAACTGGTTGTGTTCCTGTATCATGTTTGGCACTGACCACCGAGACATCAGGGAAAGAAGAGACTGAAGCTCGTTGAAGGCAAGTCAGAGGCTAAAAATCAGCCGGATTTCTAACATCAGGATGTTTTGGCCTCTGAGGAAGCTGAGACTGTCGATTGTGGTATTTTAATTTGATGTGTACTTTGCATCCGTAGCTCGCCAGTGGCGCTGAATGAAAGAGCGCATCATAAACGTCATCGTCGGGGACAGACTGAAAGCTAGACAATGCAGGGAGCTGTTAACTAGATTTGACATCACATACAGTAAGTGTAATGTCTTTGGCACAGAGCTCCTGACATATTTCACTATTTTCAACAGGAATCCTTCATTGCAGTGCTTCACCAACACATTTTCCACCAGTGTAGAGGTTTAACAGATCAAACCTCTGAGCCCTGGTTTCCTAAAAATCATTTAAGACCAAAATGAATCCCTCACATGATGAGAAACCTGTGAGTTCAGCTCTGCTGTACAAGTGGCAGCTGCTCAAAGTGCACTTGCATACCGAACCACTAAAAGTCCTACAATCAATCAATCAGCACAACCAATAAATAGAATGTGAATAAATAAATACAAATAAATAGTTGAGCATTAAAATGTCCGCTGCAGCGCGGCTGTGAGCCGGAGCAGTTTATCGCTCATCTCTCCATCTGCAGTCAAAACCAGACTCTGTTCATTTTTTAAACACTTTTCTCCCACAGATTCTTCTCCACTATGGGTGTGAGCGAGTCCAGAGAGACAGAGTGTGTGACTGTGTGCGCCTCAAACAGCCGTCTCCAAGTCTTCCTGGGTGGCAGACGATTGTTGTTGGCTGCTCAGGTAGGTGGCAAGCTCCGAGTCTCCCTCTGCTTGGTCCGCTGGGGTCTTCCCCTGGTGGACACACAGAGTCATGTCTCAGTGTCTGTCTTCAGAGGGAGAGCAAGAGAAATACTGAAGGAATCAGCGTGTCTGGGAAATATCAGTGAAATGTTTTTTTGAACCAACAGCCCAAAACATCTCCTGGTGACCACACAGAAAACAGCAAAAATTCAAAATCTTCATAATTATATGTCAGTTTTGCCTGAAAACTACTCACAGTGCTGAAGATTAATTTCCTTTCTGTCAAGTTACTGATTAATCGACTAATTGTTTCAGACGTAAAGGAGTGCCTGTCGTTAATGAACTAAAGATTAGACTCTAATGCATCTAATGAATCTAATTTCAATCTAATGCAGATTACAGCCTAAACAGATCGCACTTGTTCCTTATATTGAGCCATGATCTGTCCTCTTCTCCTCACTTCTCCTGTCACTCTCTACTAGTGACCAGCAAATTAAAGATTTAAACAAAAATGCCTAAAAATACTTTGGTGCCCTGCGACTGCTGTACTGTATGTGGTACGCCAGCTGCTCATCAGCAGACAGAGGATCAGCAATAAGATCATCAGCTGCTCACTGGCCCCTCTGGATGACTGATTCAGCTCTCCAGGCCTCAGTGGAGCAGCCAGCATACTGACAGACCTCACTTCAGGTCCATCAGATCATGAGGAAACAGACTTCAGAACAGCTTCTAATCCAGAACCGTACAAGAACTGAACACTGACAGCGACTGTTTAGGACCTGATTGAACATCAGTACAACAGTATTTGCTGTTACATTCATGGAACACTGCACAGATGTTGACATTCCAGCTGTACTTTTGTACGTATATACCTGCACTACTTATACATAGGGCCAATGCAACTTGGTAAATATATATATATATTGCACAGTGTTTTTATTTATATAATAAACGTATTTCAGCTGTACTGTATTTTTTTAACAGCTGTATGACAGTTTTGTTGTGCAGCGACAATAAAGGAATCTATCTGTCGACTTTTAACCGAGTGTCACTGATGGAGTTTGACAGCTGGAACAGTGTTCATACTGAGCCATCAAGAAAGAAACCTGTCAGGTCGGAACATCCGCTGTGTTCAACATTACGCCAATAGCCTGAACCTGCACTTTCTGTTTTGGAAAGTCAGTTAAACACACGCCCAGAAGCCAGAGAACAAATCCCTCTGTGAATCATTCACATGTTGATCTGATATGACTCAGCTGAACTTGCAGGAAAAGTCCGTGCCTACAGGTTTGTGGTTCTGATGTGATAGGGACACAACTGTGTGTGTGTGTGTGTGTGTGTGTGTGTGTGTGTGTACCTGGAAGTTGGTCTTGTCGAGCGACGCCCCGGCCTCCACCAGTAATCGACACACCATGTGCTGCTTCTCGGAGGCTGCTTTGTGCAAGGCAGTGTCCCCTCTACACACACAACCACACACAGATACATTTTGAGAACGTGCAGAATATCATACCTTGAAATTAACAGTCTAACTACACATGAAGCTGGCACCAAAAGAAATCCACCCAGTAGATAAGGAAGTGCTCAGGTGTGCATGTAATTTCTCTAGTTATAAAATCTTCCTGCACAGGAAATCCTTTATCCAGCTGATTAAAAAGCAGCCAACATACTTCTCTCTGTCTGTCAAATCCAGAAGGACTTTGGACCCTGAGGAGGGAGAAGCACAAGACACATGAGCATCTTTGTATAGTTTGATAAGAACAAATGTATTCATGTTTTTTTCATTCTGTAGTTGTTAATGAAATCTAGAACGTAACTGTACAGTGTGTAGAAAACACCAGAAAATCTAATTAACTACTGAAAACGATGTGCCAGAAGAGAAGCCCAGTCCTTCAGCGGTGTTTGCTGACAGGGTCAAACAAGATTTCCTCAGACTGGAGAAATTAAATAAGGCAAGAAGGTACTGTATCATAATTTCAATATGTTTAACTTAAGCTGCTTCCATGAAAAGAGAAGACAGAGAAGGCAACAAAACATGATGCTGGGTTTATGAGACAGTCCCAGGCCTGAACCAGAACTACAGACACTGTGAGTTTCCCAAAAAGTTCAATTAACTATGCGTCGCTTTTGTCAGTGGGTTCCCTTTAAAGGAATAGTCCCACATTTTGGAGAAATGTTTTCTTGACGAGAAGACCGACTTTCTGCCTGTGTGAGGAGACCTGAAGTTAAAATTACCAGCTGATTAGCTTAGCTTAGCATAAAAACTGCTCATAAAATCTGAATACGAGCGGCTCTGAAGCTCATTAATTAACATGTTATATCATCACTTTCACCAAGTTTCCACCAAGAGAACGCTGGTAAGTTTTATGGATATGGATGAAACCAAGTTACAGTTCCTTCATTCATTCAACCTTTATTTATAGAAGGTAGTCCAATGAGAGCTATTTCACTCTGTTTTGCTTGGATGCCCTGTTCACTCGGGATAAATCAAACTAAATGCATCAACAAGCAACAATACAAACTGGCAAATACAAATATACTATATGATGATCATAATGCTCAAAAATGCAAAAATAGGTTGTCAGAGATCAGCTGGAGAAACAAGCTCGTCTGGTTTCACTTTCTGTTGTAACCAGAGCGGAGTAAAGCCGTCAGAGGCCTGCCCTACGTATCCACGCCGTTTTTAAACGGTGACTGCAGTTCATCCTGTGCTCACAGAGCGAACAAAGGTTTCGGTTTCGGTTTCTAATACCCAATGCTATAGTGGAGCTAATTTTTATTAAACTATGGATGTGAACTCTGAGGACATGCTTCATTTTTTTCCACAAAGACTGATGAAAAGCATGCTGAGTGAGGGATTACACTGTTAAAGAAGCTAGTGCAGCAGAGGTCAACCCAGACTTTACCTCTCTGTTGGGAAAATTCTTTTTTGTTGAGGTACCACAGTCGAATAGCTGTTTCCCGCTGCCACCAGTCTTTGTGCTAAACCAAGGGTTTTCAACCAGTGGTTCTTGGAGCCCTGGTGGTCCATAAAGACATGGCAGGTGGTCCCTGACCATGTATTCAGTAATGTAGTTTCACTGCAGGCATCACAGTTTTTATTTTTTAAAACTAATTTTGATGTATTAATTATTATTTGTGAAAAGTCAAATGATGCAAATAGAGCCATACATCATCTATACTGCTTGTCCTGAGGAGGGTCACGGGGGGCTGGAGCCAATCCCAGTTGATACTGGGCGAGAGGCGGGGTCCACCCTGGACAGGTCACCAGTCTGTCACAGGGCTGACACGTAGACGAACAACCACACACTCACTCCTATGGGTAATTTAGAGTCACCAGTCAACCTAAGCTGCATGTCTTTGGACTGTGGGAGGAAGCCGGTGTACCCGGAGAGAAGCCACACAGGGGTAGGGAGAACATGTGGACTCCACACAGAAAGGCCCCAGGTCGGCCGGGGCTCAAACCCGGAACCTTCTTGCTATGAGACAACAGCACTAACCACCGTTCTGCTGTGCCGCCCTATGCAAATAAACAGAATTTAGAAAAGCCGAGGTGATTTTCAGGATTAAAATAGCTCCCATCTGGTACAACCACCCCACAACAATGTTCCTCAGGCTGCTTCTTAGTCACAGTGGTGGTCCCTGGGTCACAACCAGTTGAAAACCTCTGTGGCTGTAGCTTCATATGTACTGTACAGCCTTTAGAGTGGTACCAACCTTTTCATTGAACCTTTTACACTATTCCCTTCATGCTTGTGTTTGATGCTGCAGATTTCTTGCATTATAAATGCTGCAGGAGCCACAAGTCTTATATTCTTAGATAATCTACAGTAAAAAAAAAAAAAAAAGGACTACTGATGTAAAAATGCTACATGCATATGCTCACCCTGTTGCAGGATGTAGCTGACTAGGTCTGTGTGTCCGTTCTGGGCAGCTTTGTGTAACGCTGAACAACCCCCAGAGTCTCTAACCAACAAGCTGACACCTCGGCGCACACACTCTGACAGCTGCAGGGTCGATAGAGGAAAAAAACAGGAAGTAGATGAGCATTTGTTTAAGACCAAGAAAGCACAAAGCCCATTTGTAGCTGCAGTATAAGTGTAAACAGCAGTTCAAAAATGAGTAATATCTGACTCCCTGAGTGCAGTGACACTCAGTGTTTATCACCTTTAAACTACGTCACTATTTACTGCACTGCTCCGCTCACTTTCTTCTGTTTATTCCAAACACATCAGGGCCCTGTTGGCCTCAAGAATCTTAAGAGAACCATAAAATCCCTCTGAACAACTTGTTAAACTAAGCACCACAACTTAAGATGCTCTTAAAAATGACAGTAAATTAAGGAGTTCCTTTTACCTGCTGGTGAAAAGCTGAGATTCAACATGCTTCACTGATGTTTCTGATCATTTTTATTTGCTTTTCATCATGACCACTAATGCCCTCAGTTATCATGTGAAAATGAAAACACTAAACTAACAAAGACAAAAACACTGAGTATTTAACATTGGATCTGCACAGCTGATCTGTCAGTGGCCTCCCGTCTCTCCTGTGCGCCACAGACTCTGCAAAAAAACTTTAAGTCATCAGGCGTTTCCATGTCATAAAGGCTCAGGGATTGCGTTTTGTCAGTGGACTGCAGCGGACACAAACAGGCCAACTAGTCTTAACTCAACAGTGTGTGAGCATCTGTGTTTGTGTGACTGCACTTTACCATAGAAAGATCCCCAGAACTGGCAGCTGTCAGCAAAGCTGTAAACACACAGACAGACACAAATCACCACACCTTCATCGGCATTTTTCTGCAGACTGCCCGAGTTTCCATGGACACACTTGTCTGTGTGTAAACACAGCATCTCCCTCTTTCTCTGCAGATAAATACCTGCATTTAAGTGTATTTGTGTGTAGTTCTGGGTTTGTGCCCAATAATACATGTATTAAAAAGGAAGTATCGTTTTTTAGGATTAAAGAAGTGAAAGATTCCAAATAAACAGGGATTTTTCTCCCCTGTCCAGATTCCCCTGACTGACTCTAAGGGACTCATTGTACTTTTCAACTTTCTGTTTCTCTTTCCTACAGCATGCGTGTGTTGTGCCCAGTTAGGCGCAGGCTCAGGTGACTTCCTTGTAGCAGAATATGCTCCTGAACAAACTACGAAGTACAGAAGGGATAAGAGATATCAAAACAGACACAGTAAAATAAATATTACTGACTTTATACTGCTAATAGAGAAATGTACTATTTAAATTGTCTTTTTCAAGTGTAATGTTGTTTGCTGCTTGGAGGTGTTGACAAAACTGAAAGTGGATGAACAAAACATGTTAGAACATGTCCAGGTCAGGAGCAAGCAGGGGAGTACCAAGAATTACAGTCAGCTATTACTGACCAAATAACAAGGAAACAGTAAACATCCTTTTAGAAACAAGTCTGTGGAGGGCGTTAAACGACACCGTGGTTGTGAACCTCACAAGCCTGAACAAAGAGATTTAAGAGACCTGACACCTGTTTTTAAAAAACACCCCAAACTGGCCCCATCTGTCTTCATAGGATGTTTAGGTGTAATTTACCAAAGGGAAAGAAACACTACTGTACTTCAAGCTGAAACGTGTCTGACTCATGATTTGTGACAGATACACGGTGCACACACAGACATGCATCATTCACAATAAAGTAAAAGTGAAATGTCTTCACAATCATGAAACTGCATCAAAGAATAGTAAGACAGGTTTTACTGACAGAAGAGAGAACATGCCCTGAACTATAGCTACAAACCAGTGTTTATACATATCTGAGAAAAGACGTAGTAGTGGTGTGTGTGTGTGTGTGTGTGTGTGTGTGTGTGTGTGTGTTATACCTTGTTCCTCAGGCGTCAGTGGAGCACTGCAAAGAGACATTACAGAAGGAATTAAAATGTGTTATGTACAGTAGATAAAACCTGATTTCAGTGCTACAAGTAGCAGTTATGTTTCAATATTTTGATATTTTTCTTGATATTTCTAGCATTATGGATTGTTTGATCTACAAATTCAGAAAATGGGGCTGAATATTCACCACAGGTTCCTCATCTGACCTAGTTAGCAGATTAAGAGCTGATGATTAGCTGATTAATCAACTAGTTAACCTTAAAACTTATGGAACAAAGCCTGTTAATAGAGAGAGTGATGGAAAAATACAGTGCACAGACTTTCTTGAGTGAATCATGTTATCTATGTGTAGACAGTGTTAAGAAGAGACTGTTCATCATATGAGGAATTGTTCTCCAGTTAAAGAGATCATGAGACATGCACATGATCAGTCTTCTGACAAAATAACAGATGGTGCAATCCCAGACATGTTACTGTTAAAAAACATTCTGTAGCAGAGACATTGAACTATACAGTATTAGCTGTCAGTGCACGGCCGTACTACATTCCCAGGGAGTACTCTCATGTAATCATAGTGACATTGTACATAAATCCCTCCACCGATGCTACTGCTGCGTGCGAGCACGCGCAGAGCACCGTGTCTAGGTTGCAGACAACACCCACATGCTTTAATCCTCATCTCAGGGGACTTTAACCATGCCTCCCTCCCTAACTTCAAACAGTATGTTAATTGCCGCACAAGGGACAATAAAACTCTGGACCTACTGTATGCAAATGCCAGAAATGCATCCCCCCCCGCCCCCCCTAGGTCGCTCTGCCCACAGCCTTGTTCACCTACTTCCAGTGTATACTACAGTGGTGGAAAAGGTGTCACCTCAGGTCAGGGTAGTAAAGGTATTATTAGGTATTTTTAGTCAGATAGATATTGGTTAGATACTTGATATATTAGAAATGTTTAGAGTAGACAGGATGTCTAGCTCAGGCTGTTAAATGCTTAGTCATTCTCATGAGTTACTGCAGGTTGCTTATGGTCAAGGATAACTAGATAGAAAGTTGATGACTGTTAGAAGACAGGGTGTTTAATATTATTATTATGACGTGTATAACTGTAGCCATAGCCATAATATTTTCTTATGTTTAATGTCATGACATATCATTAGAGGTCGTGTTACAATGTTTTTAGCTACACACCACATAATCATCAGACAATCACACATTGATTTTCTTCATGCTTTGACTAC